GGTTGATAACAGCATTGTCGCTGCATAAATGCTGCATTTAAGTGAGGAGAAAGTATGCCATGAGCCGCCGTCCAGAAATGAATACATTCGCACTGCAATGAACCTGAACAGGAATACTAGATGTGGGAACATCCACGCTGAATTTAATGAAAGTACACAGTTTGCGGCGTTCAGTTTGGATGATTTGACACAAAAATTTTAAAACATTCAAAGACACCTTCAGTAAATAATATGCTGCTGTCATGTTGGCCAACAGGTGCCTTTTTTATTCTTGTATCATTATTATATGAAATAAATACTGAACGATGTTAACATCATTCATCTGACTACAGATTTAAATGCTGGTAACAGTAGAAACTCAGCTTCTACCGGTATCACCAGAATAAAAGCGCGTTGTTGCAGACTTCTGATAAAAACCACTGCATTCAACAAGCTACGTAAAAAGAAAAAAATGCATATGACTGTCTGTGATTAACTGCAGAATAAATTAAAATATTTCCTTTATTAAAACATATTTTAAGGTAAATGCCAGTTAAGTTTGGGAATTTAAGGAGCGAACATATTTTGTCGTCGCATAAATTGTTCAAATATTCAGTCATGTACCCCTGTATTAGCTACACGTACGGCTGCAGACATGCTCGTTTTAACCATGTGTAAATATATCAACCATAGATATTCTGGAGTAAATGGCTATATTTTCAAAATTAAACATACATGTATATAACCGCCATGCTCAATGATATGGTCCACACTTGCATATATGTAACTTATATTCCGTTTAAAACGTGAATGAGAGGATTTTTAACTTGACAATCGATTAACAGTTATATAAACATGACCTAAGAAAAAACTTTTACTGCAAGTTGATAAAAGATATCTCAACTCGTTTTTTTTTTCTTGCCATTGGCCAGTAGCCAGATTGCTAACCCTGCAAAAGTCTCTCCTATAAATTTTCCTTTACCGAAAGGTATTCCTTTTGGGTAGAGAAGTAAAATTAGTTTGTTTGCTAATCCCGAGATGTTGAGAATTTTCAATATGGCCCTCAATATTTGAGGGGAATATAGACAAACAGCAAGAAATCAATAGAAATCCTTAATTTGTAGCTCTAATTAATGTATTTCTATTCCAAAGACCACAGTTGGATAATTGACTTTATCCTAGCACGTGCCTGTTATTGAAAAATCATAATGACAACTAAAACGTACAATAAAGGACAAATAAGAACAGCAAAATAGTAAACGTTAAGCAGTGGGTCTGCCTTAACTATGATTGGCTAGTTACTTCCTCAAGCGTGTCACTATTTTACATTTCTCAGGGTGCTCTTATGTTTTCTGGTGTCACTATATTCTGTTTGTATCGCATATTCAAACTCTCTTATTCTAAGATCAACTTGAGAACAGAAAAAAAATACATTATTTTATTATCAATTTTAATCAAGATTCTTAATATAAGGGAATCGCTTGGGTATTTTCGTTACCAGCGAAAGACACTATTTTTTGCCTGAGATTCGTAAAACCTTCATATCATTTATCATAATCCATGTCCGTGACTCATGAATGCCACTTTTTATTCCTTGTACTTTGTGAAACGCAACCATTGTACTCGCTTAAAGCAATAATAACTCTTCGTTTCGGCCAAAAAATGAATTTTCCTGGAGTAAACAACAATTTTCCCATGCTTACCAATGGTTAATGAATCCATTTTTACATTCAAAGTTAGTCCCTGGTTTTTTTCTAAAAAGTTTGGTTTTTTGTTAAAATCTCTTAAGAGATTTTAACAGAGTATAGACATCAATGGAGGTCACGTGGTCTAAAGACAAGTTCAAATATCAGAATAAAAGCTATAACTGCTGTTTTTGTGGTAAAACAGAATATATTATATTTCTATGAGTTATTCACAAGGTTTTTATTGTGAAATATAGGTCTCATACAAAGAGTTATTATGCCTTTAAGCCCCTATTTCACACAGACCACGAATCCCACGAATGGCCATGAATTGACAAATTTCACGATTCGTGGTTGAATCGCAATCAGTTCGTGAAGTTCTTAACAGATTCGTATATAATCGTAGTCAGTTATTGCACTTCTTGACCAACAGGAATTGGTGGCAAAAACTTTGATGCCCCTATTTCACACAGACCACGAATCCCACAAATCGCCAGGAATTGACAAATTTCACGATTCGTGGTTGAATCGCAATCAGTTCGTGAAGTTCTTAACAGATTCGTATATAATCGTAGTCAGTTATTGCACTTCTTGACCAACAGGAATTGGTGGCAAAAACTTTGATGCCCCTATTTCACACAGACCACGAATCCCACAAATCGCCAGGAATTGACAAATTTCACGATTCGTGGTTGAATCGTAATCAGTTCGTGAAGTTCTTAGCAGATTCGTATATAATCGTAGTCAGTTATTGCAATTCTTGATCAATCGGGAATTCGTGGCAAAAATTTTGAGCTGTTCAAAGTTTAGGCCACGAACTCCCGATTCCAAAAAATCGTAGTGAATTTCTGGACAATATTCGTGCGATTCCAACCGAATCCCACGAATATTCGTAACATTGTCGCACCTGTATCGTAACTGAATCGTAGAGCGTGTTGAATTAGACCAGAAAATTGGCAAAATCTCACGAATCTTCACGAATCCTGAAATGTGTCAATTCCTGGCGATTCGTGGGATTCGTGGTCTGTGTGAAATAGGGGCCTTACTCGCAATTTTCAATTCCCTAGACACGCATTGTAATTTGGGATTTGATGATTTTATCACCGGTGAACTGTGATCACTACCCCCTCCATTGGGAACCTTTTTATATGTTGTTGCTTTTGTACCGACCTCTGCCAATACTTGATCTGATTGGCTAGTTACCCCAATACACGTGTCACTTACTGCTGACTGAACCATTACATCAGATACAACTGTCAAGGTAAGGTGTTAAAGTCTTTCTGGTGTAGCAGGTTACTTTCACTTAATGTAAAATTTATTATATACTTATTTAGTTTTCTTTGCGCTGTCATTACACCTTAACCATTTTATCATTAGAATAGTTTGTGTAGAGAAAATAAGACATGCCATTCTGTTTTCAATTCAACATGGCGAAACTTCTAACTTCAAGCTTCTAAATATGCTTTTGTACCGATATCTGCCAATATTTGGTCTGATTAGCTGGTTACCTCAATAAACGTGTCACTCACTGCTGACTGAACCATTACATTACGGTAAAGTGTTAAGGTCTTTCTAGTGTGGCACTTTATTTTACTTTCAGAAATTTATTTACCACAAGGTGCTATCGTTATGACTAGTGTACTGCAATGTATTATGTAGTAGTATGCCGTATTGTTTTAAGTCATGGAATACTGCTGTGTTTTCTGCTGTTGGTATGGTATATATATATGTCAAGGAAATTCCAAACCTAGCGCACTTTCAAACTCTTACTTAGGGAAGAAGATACCATAGAACAATATGTAATGTTTTTATTTTAGAAAATGTCTCTTGGATTCAGTACAATCGTAGCTATAACCGCCTGTTTTTCCGTCGGTATGAGACAAGCGGAAGCTGTGTGCTGTCACCCGGTCATCACTGATTATTGCGGAGACTGCAGTTTTGTAAGTTTTTTTTTTATAAAACATCGTGTCAATAGTCATTTAGCTCCCAAATTGTCGACTTAAATATTAAATGATATTTTCCTTGAATCATCGATGTCTTTAACCATTGCAAGTTATGAAAGAATTTTGCTTTCCCTGACTTTCAATTGTGTGAATTTCTCTGGAATGCAAATATACCAGCCGAAGCGGTTTGTTTTGTGAAAAATATTAAAAACAAGATACAAATGTGATACTTTTACAACAAATGATTAAATATAGCTTCATGAACATTGACAACCAAATGTTTATAGATACGAGTGAAGAATCTGTGGAACAATTGTCATTGTAACTGATCTTTCAAAACAAATGTAATCCTCTCCTCAGGAGAGTTGTTTTGTTATTGTAACGGGTATTTTAAAACAAAAAAATCAGAACAGTTGTGATATCTTAAAACCAACGTATAAATATTTACAAACCATATGTTCGTCAACACTGGAAAATGGTATTAGAAACTGAAATTAAGTAGCATTTCTTAGTTCAGTAATGTCATATTATAACATGTCGTTTTTAGAATAATAATGGAGAGTGGTTTATCTTACTTCATACTCGCCGGGTGTTTGTTTCCACAACAAACAAGACTACAAGATATTAAAAAGATTTTAACGCAACCTAAATAATATCACTATTTTAGAACTTTTGAAATAATTCGCACCCTTACCATACTGCACCAAAATACCGGGGTGCGAGGTCCTTAACGTTTGGTTGAACCATTTTCGTACTCTAGAATATAATATCAGTAAATGTCCTTAAATTTAGTTTGAGACACCTCCTTGGTATATATATATATATTAGTATATGGTATCAGTATGTCCATAACGTTCGGTGAAGCCATCTTCCTAGTATAGTATATGAGATTAAAAAATTCTCTTGCGTCTTAATATCACGTCAGCTCGGATTTATGGCTACCAAAGGCACGCATTGATGTTCTTCTGTGGTAAACTTACTGTATACATGTCCGTCGAATAACCTTAGACTTGCCCTTCAAGAAATCGACGGAAAATAGCTCATTTTCAAATTTGAATGAACACTGTAGAAAAAGTATATAAGCTCAAGCTCTCAGATTTCGCACATAGGTGCGATATTATGTAAAGAATAAATTTTGTAAATTTCAATACAATTGGTTGTGTAGATTTTGAGATAGAACGCTCTGAATGTACTGCAAACCATAACACTTACGCCTTCAAGATCTCGACGGAAACCGGAAGTGCGTCGTGACGTCATTCGATTGTGCTTGGGAAGATGCTGGATGATTTTCTGTTGAGAAGGACTTCGTTTTTTATCAAAATATTAAGTAAATGACTTTGCAAACCACGCATATAGTTTTTTTTAAAGTAAAAAAAGCTATTTAAGACTAAGTTTTGTTTTTTTATTTCGATTTATATTTCAATGTTGTCTCATGTTTTCATAGCATTTCAAGAAAGTTCAAACGATTCACGAATTCGGCTTTTAATGATGTCTGAAGCGTGTAAGGCGTCATATATGTTTATAGAAAGTGTATTAGAAATTGAACTTAAGTAAACGTACTGAGAACGAACTCTAGACTCACAAATAGTGTTTGGTCATAAAAGATTTTACTTTTCTCAAAGACCACTTATATTTCCACTACAATCTTATAATATACAGAGGTAGTCCTAATTACGTATACCGCCCCATTTTAATCAAAACGGAAAAAAGAATACACACACATTTTATCATTTCAAGATGAACAATGTGACAGAAAACAAACAATCACAGACGACAGAATTTACAACAGACATGAAGGGGCAAATGAAGGGCCACAAATTTATGTACATTACTTTATCTGTAATATTAATACGTTGAAAAACTGTAATTATAATAATAAACAATATACATGTTGAAAAGAACTAAACCAATACTCTTTTATTCTGATGCCTGCCAGCAGTTATGGCATAAAAAAACGTCCAAAAATGTGGGTGTTTTCGCGCAAGAAAGATGTTCTTGCGCATTGCAAACGACACACCGAATAAACTCGTACACTTCTTCCACCAACTCAGTTGTGCTAGTACTTGGTGGCTCCATACCGTTGCATACGGTACATATCGGTGCCGGCCGACGGGGTGTAGGTCTACTTGGTGCCACGGTTCCTTCCCGCGGTTCTTCAATGAAGAAATTTCCTGCCACGATGCCCATTCTTTTTGCCCTCTTTTCATATGCTCTTTTCCTTTTCTCTTCTTCCTTTTTCTCTTTCTCCTGTCTTCTTAATTCTTTTCTCCGTTCCACTTCCAAGGCCTTCTGTGCCTTTCGATCGTGTGCCTCAGCCCTCTTTCTCTCCCTCTCCTCGCCCGCTCTTTTCTTCTCCTCCTCCTTCTCTATCCTTCGCTTAGCGGCATCTTCCCTTTTCTTCTGTTTTTCTTGAACAATCCTTTGGCTTTCTTCCTCTTTTCTTCTTTTTTCTGCCATCACTTCGTCCGACGTCAGTACTTGTGATCTACTATAATCTGTTGCAAATCTTCTTTTTCTCATGGGTGCCCCTTCTGCTGGTACAATCAGCACTTTCGCGATGGTTGGAGACACTATGCCCATCTTCACCATTGGGTGTTGCTCAATCTTGCATATGTGACCACAGTAACAGACAGGTGTCGCGTCAGTAGAGTCTGTTTGCGTCATCGAGTCCGTCTTGTCTGTCGGCTGTCCATTGTCATCGTAATATGTCTGAGTGGTTTGGTCTTTTCTCTCTTCGTCGTCACCGCTGCACTCCAATATGAGGCAGCACACGTCTCCACTTGTCTTTGTCTTCTTATGTGCTCTGTCGTTTTCTATGTATTTATCTGCCTTTATAGCCTTTGGGTTGAGTGGCCATATCCCTGTAGTTTTGAAAGACGCTGATAGTTTTTCTGGTGTTAGTGCTTTCCTTCGAGCAGATTTAAAAATTGCTGGAAAAGTTGCTTTAGTGATAAGAAGGTTTTTCCGTAAAAGACTGGCGGATTTTGCAATTTTTCTATACTCCAATTTTAGATCTTTAAAAATTTGATCCAGGGGTTGTAAAAAATGAGAAGTGTGGGCTGGGATATTAAATAAAATGATGTTGTTTTCCTTAGCACTGTCAATAAGACCTTTGGAAGCATGGGCTGCTAAGTTGTCTTGCAACAATATCAAGGGCCTGGCAGAGGGGGCGTGTTTCAAGAAAATTTTGACAAACCATTGCAAATACATGTCAGAGTCTATGTACCCCGACTCAGAGGAGCCATAAAGGGCGTCTTCCGGCCCTTGCTGTATGGCTTCAGGTGCTGGGGGACAGCCCTCGAATATAATCATCGGTGGCAGCAGCTGGCCAACGGCACTGCCACACTCCACGACAGTAACATGGTTGGCATTGGTTACCTCTCTTTCATATGGGAACTGTTTTCCCTTCTTGGCGACAACTTTCGAGCTTGCTTTAGACTGAAAGTAAGTCTCATCTACATTGTAGATTTTACTTGGATCGGTAATGTTGTGCAGTGCGAGGGTTTCTTTTAGTAAATCAAAATGCGATTCTGCAACGGATGGCTGCGACATGACGGCTCTGCCTCTGAAAAATAATTTTCTAGAACGGTTAGAGCACAGCGATTTTGCCTTTAAGTACCTTTAACACAATGCCTTTGTTAAATGGAGGAAAAAAGCCCACACTCATATGTGAACATTTTAGGTTGTAAAAAATTGAATTTGCAATGACCATCATTATTATTACCACAATCATTATTATTTTCAGTCACAGGCACACCTATTGATTAATCCCGGCTTTCTTAGAGAGAGCTCGGGGTGCCTTTGCCTAAGGCGCCACCACCAACCATCCGATGCAAGAAACTCCACATTTGGGTCCCTTTCTTTCATGATCCCTTTTGCAAAGTGCCCCATCAGGTCTCTTGTCAGAGGAAAACCCCAGTCAGCCATAAGCATAGCATAGGCTATTAGGGCTTCCTCGTCGTCTGGGTTCATTAACGGTTTTTTCTTAGGTGTAAACTTCAGTCTTCCTTTTGTGATAGACGCATATAAGAGAGAGACAGAGAAATGAAGTGAAACAGGATATACCTTAAGAGCAGGACAGGAAAGAGAATTTGCCCAAGGCAAGAATTAAACAACAAATACTCATAAAATTAAAATAAAAACGTTTTTATTTACAAACCAATTTACGTTTTAGTTTTTCTTTGTTTTTATTGTTATTAATACGAACATAAAATGCAACTCATACCGTCATTACCAGCGTATATGCTCACGTATATTGTTCACCGGTTCATTACTTTTATAGTCACTACTTGTATATTCTAAGATTCGGTACCTGACACATGGTCACCAATCGTTGTTACTGGCACACCAAAAGCGCGTGACGCTTCAGTCAACGTGTACGTGCCTGCTTGCACAGACAAAACAGCTGCATCTAATTGTTCTAAGTTATATTTCCGTGGCATTCTGAAAACTGATTTGACATTTTTGGTTTAATTAATGTTGTTTTAAAATGTAAACACACATAATTTGGGCTTTTATTTTAGATAAACAAACAGAACTAGGCCATCCTTTGCTAAAGTTGGATATTCTAAAGGATTTCTTTTTAAATTAAACTTCAATATCAGTTACGTACGTAACCCGTCTTGTAACAGTACTATTGTAAGGGTCTCTAGCGGCAATTCACCAAACTACTACATGTGTACGTATGTTGTGACACACATTATTGACTCAAACAAGAAAACAATCCTAACTACAATTGATCGGGACGATTTTATTTACACTCACAAGAGAGATGAATTGGAGACAAAAACAAAGGACATCATTTGGATACTTAAGATGCCTTTATTCAAGGTTTGTGTTTATCACTAAGTTTGATGCAATGTGTTTACAAGCCGTGTACATTTTACCTGTAATACTACGTCGGGTAATACGGAGGTGATAAACATCCAGGGTAGCCCTATAGAGAATTACGGCTGGGATAATATGTGGAAAACATCAATCAGCCAGTAACGTTTCTTACAAAGGACACGCACCTGTTAGAATTTTAAAAATCTAGAATATATAAAGCAGATGAATGTGGTATTTTTCTACTTCATTTGAACTTACAAAGTTTCACCGGCGACAACAAATAATGATAAATTAAATTTACTCATACGAAGGATGCGCAAATAATAGGACGTCGACAAGAGCATAAAAGCACGGAAATTTATGTAAGTAAACATTATTTCTGTTCAACTAACTTCTTCTACAACATGTGTAAGGTCGTTATCAACGCTTTTTGTATTATAAACAAAAGTTTAAATGTTGCGTTCGATACTTTGTATCAGACGCTACAACTTACTTGACTACGCAGTATGTTTACGCGGAGCATGCCGGGAAAAATAGCGAAAAAAAGCACGTACTTCCGGTTTGCGTCGATTTCTTGAAGGCGTCGATTTCTTGAAGGGCGAGTCTAGCTCTTTACGAGCTTAACTGGTTGGGTATATGTTTTGTTTAACAAAATGAACCCTTTAGAATATCGATACTCTACTGGAGCATGTTCAAGTTGTTTCATTAAAATATTTTTTCCTCGGGTAAAACAGCGACCTGTCAAACAAGTTATGCCAATTCTCTTTTTGTTTCAGACTTTGTTTCACTGTGGAGTAGGTAGCTGCGACCGTCTTTGGTGTAACTGCGAAGGAGGCTGCAGATCCGGTTGTACAAGTGTGAAGATAAGCGGCTGGTTTACGTGAGAAACGATCTTTTACTTATAACTTCTTATGTGGATTATTTGTCTGCAATACAACACGCATAATTTTGTATCGCGTTGGTCAAAGAAATACTTTACAAAAAATTGAGTTACATAGGGTGCAAGTTTTTTGGCAAATTTTGAGCATAACAAATGACCATAAGCTTTTGGTAAAGCATTCATATATTCATTACCACATATAAGAAAAATGCATTGCGATATGCAAACATTATGAAAGAAAAGAAACTTTATTTTGCTTTTAATAGGAATGAAAAGTGTGTATGCAGCAACAAGAGGTCTGTGTATGCAGGTGTAGATTACAGCATTGACCCTAGTGTAGTATTCAATAACACTGATACAGACAGGTAAGTGATGTAGGTGTAGATTATAGTATTGACGCTAGTGCAGTATTCAGTAACACTGATACAGACAGGTAAGTGATGTAGGAGTATATTACAGCATTGATCCTAGTGTAGTATTCAGTAACACTGATACAGACAGGTAAGTGATGTAGGTGTAGATTACAACATTGACCCCAGTGTAGTATTCAGTAACATTGATACAGACAGGTAAGTGATGTAGGTATGGATTACAGCATTGACGCTAGTGTAGTATTCAGTAACACTGATACAGACAGTTAAGTGATGTAGGTGTGGATTACAGCATTGACCCTAGTATAGTATTCAGTAACACTGATACAGACAGGTAAGTGATGTAGGTGTAGATTACAACATTGACGCTAGTGTAGTATTCAGTAACACTGATACAGACAAGTGATGTGGGTGTGGATTACAGCATTGACGCCAGATGCATGGAGTAGTTTTCAGATGTGGACAGGTAAGTGACATAGTTCCTCCGCAACAAAGAGGTCTTTACATAAGCCATTTAATATGCTCAATTTTAACAGATGATTACCGTCATTTCAGAGCCCAAATTGTGTTCTTAATATTATGTTTCAGTGTAAAGTGACCATTTGGTTTACATGTAAATAACTATGAAGCTGTATCATTACAGAAATGAGCAGCTATCCAGCGATGAATACATTCGTGCTGCAATGAATCTGAACAGGAACACAAGATATGAAGACATCCATGCTGAATTTATGGAAAAAGACAAAAACGGCGACGACATGATCAGTTTGGATGAATTTGACACAAGAAGTGAATGAAATTGGCAAAAATCTCTTTCTGTTTAAAATAATGCACTGGTTCATGTAGGTCTTCAATGATAAACCCAATTGAGTTCAGAACGTATCAGCATTTTTTTTATGTTTTTGTTATCTTTGAAAGAAAAACTTGTTTGATCTTTATAACACATATTTTGTCCGTACCGAAGAATGCTGGTTGACTTTTTGTTTATATTCCCAGTATAAAAACATAATTACATTTTAATTGTCATTTGTCGTGACAGTAATTTGATAAAAAGGGTTCATCATTTCAGAGAAGGATTATTCAAATGGCGCAGGTTAAAAAACAGACAACATAACATAAAGGTCACACAGTCTGGAAAAGTAGACTAACCCGTAGCATACACTTATAAAATTTGTGTTAGCAGCGTACAAATCATGAACTGTGCCATTTTCACGTTTGAAACGTTCCGGTGAAATGCTGGTATATATTTGTCTTTTTATTATTAATGTGATTTTTCCTAGGCCGTTAAATATCAATTTTCACCAATAATAAGATAACGACAAATAAAACCCAATATGAAGTTGATACACGAACCATGCATATTTCGTCATTACATAAATTACCCAAACGGTCAGTCACGTACCCCTGTATTAGATACACGTACGGATGCAGGCCTGCTCGTTTGACTATACAGGAATAGATTTGTGTAACAATATCGATCATACTGTTCCTTAGCATTGATTATCATAACTATTAAAATAACTTTATTTATGCACCAACATATGGTGGATATCCACGATGCATTAGATGTGCTGAGGGTCTGTATTTTTCTGAATCACATTGCAAACTCTGCCAACAACATCAATATTATTAAGAAAAACAAATTATTTGTCAAACAAACTGAAAACAATTGACATAAAAATAACAAAGATAAAATTCATAGAAAGGCAAAACAAGAAACCAAAATCATCGACCACAACTGCTCCTAAACCGACAAAATTAAGCACCAGCAACGATACTGATAATAATAATAAACATAAATTCCAGTAAATAAGTACAGAAATGTTATCTTAACAAACTTCAATGAGGACAACATCCTCAACCGTCACCACAACAATGAGAAAGGATGAATTTCGAAACAATAATAAAGATAACCACAAAAGCAGGCCGATTAAAAATACTGGAGATAACATTTACTAACGAGCAACTATTTAGCGCAGGAGGTGCTAAGAATCTCTGGGGCAGCAAGGATCACCGAACATCAAGACCAGTGAAAAATTTCAACATCATTACTTACAACATTAGAACTCTGAAGAACAATGAAAGACTTGCAGAATTGGAAACTGAACTCCAGGACACCGGAGTTAAATGGCATGTGATAGGCTTGTCAGAAATTAGGCGAGCGGAAGAACGCTTAATTACCTTGAATAGCGGACATATATTGTACCATACAAATGCTTCAAATGGCCAACAAGGAGTTGGATTTCTGATACACAAGGCGCTAAGCAAGAACATCATCGAGGTAAAGCAAATTAGCGCAAGGTTGGCTACAGTCAAGCTCAAATAGAATCAGAGATTCTCAATGAAACTCATTCGGGTATATGCACCAACATCAAGCAGACCAGATGAAGAAGTAGAACAACTGTATGAAGAAGTACAACGTCAGTTGACAACAGACTGCCACTACTACATAGTCATGGGTGATTTCAACGCCAAGATCGGGATAAAGTCAGACGAACAAGAGCGTGCCACAGGGAAATTTGGCAGCGGAGAGAGGAATGAAAGAGGAGACTTACTGATTGAATGGGCGACAGCAAATAACTTGAAGATCATGAATACCGTCTACAAGAAGAAGATATCAAGAAGATGGACATGGCAAAGCCCAGATGGATGTACAAGAAACGAAATTGATTACATCATGACAAACAGACCGAACATCTTCACGGATGTGAAAGTGCTAAACAGACTGGATGCGGGCAGTGACCACAGAGCAGTTATTGGAGTGATTAGGATCAATGTCAGAAAGGACAGACAGAAATGCCTGTCAAATCCACCAAAGAGACTTAGTATCGAGCAACTGGTCATAAAGAAAGACGAATTCCAAATCCTCCTAACAAACAGATTCAGTGCACTAGAGCTAGAAGGTGAAGATGTAGTAGATGAAATGAACGATAGAATAACGACCACCATCCTAGAATGTGCATCAGAAGTCGCACCGGCTAGTAAAAATGAAGGACTCAAAGCTCTCAACAGAAACGAGGATTCTCATGAGGAAAACGGAGGTAAACAACAACAGGGACATCAGAAACAACATCGAATATGCAGAGCTGGATAAGACCATCAAGAAGAAGGCAAGGGAAGACATCAGGAAGCAGAACATGAAGAAGATAGCAGAGACCATCGAAAATGGAAAGAGCATGAAAAGAGCAAAGAGATCCTTTCAACTAGGGCAGGATAGAATGCTGACTCTTCTAGACAAAGATGAAAATGAGCTCACCACACAAGACCAGATATTAGAACGAGTAGAAGAATTCTGTGGAGAGTTGTATGACAGCAACAAGGGAATAGAAATCTCAACAAAGGCATGCGATCTACCAGACATAACAGCTTGGGAAATAGAGTCAGCAGTCCAGAAAATGAAGAACGGAAAGGCAGCAGGCAATGACAACATCAAAGCAGAAATGGTAAAAGCAGGAGGAGATATCCTATCTCAGGAATTAGCCAGGCTCTTCACAAAGTGCTTACATCTGAAGGAAATTCCTGTAGCATGGAAGAACGCCAACATGATCATAATGTTCAAAAAGGGCAATAAGAAAGACATCAAGAATTACAGACCCATCTGCCTACTTTCTAATTTGTACAAGATTTACACCAAAATATTGACCAAAGGCTAACAAGACAACTAGATGAAGCGAAGCCAAAGGAACAAGCAGGTTTCAGAGGCCAGTACACCACTACTGATCATATGCACACTGTCAACCAGCTCAAAGAGAAATGTCTCGAGTATAACATTCCACTATGTGTAGCATTCGTTGATTATGAAAAAGCCTTCGACTCAGTAGAAACCCAGTATATACTGGCATCCCTGCAAAATCTAGGGATCGAAGATGGATATGTAGACGTCCTCAGAGACATATACACCAATAGCTCTGTAACAGTCAAACTACAGAAGACCACCAATAAGATCAGGATCAAGAAAGGTGTACGCCAAGGAGATACAATCTCTCCTAAACTGTTCACAGCAGCATTGGAACGTATATTCTGGGA